TCGCTAAACTAAAAGAACGGCAGCACGGGCGCGTTCCGGTAGGTCGCGGTGTAGTTTGAGCGCTGGTTCTTTTAACTCCATCGGCGTTACAGACCGCGGTGGCGCGGGTACTCTATGAGGATTTCATGGCCGCGCTTCCGTCCTCGATCGCAGAACGTCCTGAATTCGGGCTGCTGCAGCCTGTTGCGAAGAGTGGGGTTAATTTACACGATATCATGGCTTCGGTTCGTCGAATTGTCTCCTCCTTTTCCTGTTGTTCATTAACTTACTTGAACTGCCGCAGGATCCCGCTTGTGCGAGGTAACTCAATCTCACCCAAGGCTACACTCGTCCATTAATTTTTGACCCACACTCCCCAGCTTCCTCGACCAATCGACCTACCTCCCCAAACGCACAGTCTGGTGCACCCCCGCGCGTCTGCACGCCCTGGCGTTCCACCCCACGCACCGATACCACGCGCGCGGGTCGTGGACCGAGGCGCTGGAGGTCCCCGCACTGCACGGCGCCGCGCGCGAGCTGTTCGTCGACGTCGAGGACTCGATATTCTACGTCGGGACGTACCGCGCGCATGACCTGCGTCATTTATGCCTTGGCGGGACTCCTCCGCCTGAAGTCGTGGTATGCGGTCCATATTCTTTTGCATTCAGCCGCCATTAACGATTCCTTCACTCAGTCTCCGCTGGAAATGCACTTCGCCGCGCACCTCGGCACCCTCCCGCCCGACGAGCGCGTCCCCGTCATCGCCAAAGCCTTCGCCAATGGCATCCTGAACGCGGACTGCATGGGATTCCAGTGCATCGGGTTTAACAAAGCGTTGTACGACGCGCTGCGGCGCCGCAACGGTGGGACTAAGCGGGAGGCATCGCCGGAGGTGGAGGTGTCGGAGGTTAAGCGCGTGAGGCGGTAGAAGTGGTAATAATTGGGAGAAGCGCTAAACGTGTATATTATTTCTTGGAAGGTATCATAATCGAGTAAGCACATAATTTGAACCGTAAATGATTGCTTAGACATGCGTTGCCCAGTTTGAGGGAAGTCGGATAGAACTGACCTTGACTCGAAAAACTTTCTCCGCGCAATTTATGCTGCCCCACAACAAAGGATTCGTTGCGCGCAAATGAACAAGGTATTGCTTGATACCTTGTAAAGTTGTCGGGCGTTTCAATGAAAAGTTGCCAGATGCCGGAGTACAGTTCCAGGAGTGGTTGAACTTGAACAAGGTTGAACTTACGTACGGTTGAAAATGATGCCGAACCATGCCGGCCATCGTGAGAACCCGTTCGGCAAACGGCAGAGTCATGACTCACCACTCCCTTCCATGTAAAAAACCTCCCCTGCTCAGTCGTGGTGTTCGCGATCTCCACATATCCACGTGTCCTTCACGCCATCGCTCCGTTCGACCTCCCAGGACGCACAAAAGTCGACATCACGAGTCGCACGGCCAACCACGCGTTTTCTCCCCGTTGAGCGATTTCCCGCTCTCTAACGCCCTGCCCGTGTTGGGCCTGTCGAGATCGGCGCCGTCTATGCATCTTCCATTCCGCGGGCTTCATTATATCTCCCGAACCTTGGATACCCCCGATAGATTGACTGTCGACCCTGGCCACGTTCTCTCGACGACTCTTCAGTCTTGACTCTCAGCCTCTCACCACGAGGATTCACGCGACATGCCTTGGGAAACGCCCGTCCCCGGCGCTGGGTACCGCAACGTCAAGTTAGCCACTGTCTACTCGCCGTCTTGCTCCGAATCCCTTCGCTGAATCTCCGGCCTGCAGATTTACCGCCAAGGAGGATTACCAGCTCACGAAGTTCCTCGCGATTCAAGACTGCACGGGTATCCGCCGTTTTAGCCAGGCGCTGTACGGGCATCTTGGGCCTAAGGTATTCATTCCCTCACATAATGTGTGTTCCCATATCACCTCTCTGCAGGCGTCGGACGAGTTCGCGTGGAGCCGCCATCGCGCCGCCAAATCCTGGATGGACCGCTACAAGAACAATCGCGTCAAGTTCGAGCATCGCATCAAGGAGTACAAGGCCCAGCGCTATGAGCACCTGAGTGCCAAGAAGCGCGCGGAGGTGTGTATGGTGACTTGCGTCGGTTGTACTCAGCTTGCGTCGTACATATGTAGCTTCCTCAGCGGCCGCCGACGGCGCCGCCCGTAATCAAGACTGGGCGGAAGAGCAGGACATTTGAGGCATCGACTCCGGTGGTAACTGCTTTCCTTCTCTTATTCACGGCTTGGTGCTGAGCGGTGATTCAGACGTCTCAAAACAAATCGGCAGCTACGTCCACTGAGCCCACCGCGTCTCCCACACAGGAAGAAGAATCCACCGTGCCAGTGGTAAGCCCGTTTGACTGATCCCTTGACGACTCGCACTGACCCAAACCCCAGGTGCGTGCGCTGGCGAACCTGAAATCCCTCCTCGCAGAAGAACACGCTGAGACCACTACGCGACCGCCGGTGCGTACACCGTCTACTTTCCCGAGCCATTCTTGAATGCGTTGTAATCGTAATAAGTATCGCCCACAGACCCACCATTGCGGCGAACTCGCGCATCCCAGCCTGGGGAACTCAGCCCATCCCGGGAAACGTCACGGTACCAAGAAGCTGCCCCCTTTTGTCGCGACGTCGACGCCCCGTAAAGTCGTGTGTTTAGTCTAACTAATTCCCTCTGACTCCGTTGGCTGATTGGGGTATCAAGGTGGATGCTACTGCTGATGTTTCCTTAATCCAAGAGGTCAGTCGTTCATCAACGATCTGCTGAGCAGCCTCTCATGTGTCGCTTTAGTTCTCCCCGTCGATAGTGTCGCCTGTATCCATGTCCACGGTCGCGGCAAAGGAAGGAAAGGTCGGCCGCATACGTTGTACTTCCCGCGTTCCTGTACTGAGACGTGCACAGCAGCGCCAGCAGGCCACTCCATCCGTGCCAACCAAGGCGTCAGGTTCGGACCCAGCGCGCGGCCCCGCTGCTACGACGGCCCAGAAACCCCGCGGTATGCAGGAGTTGCTCGACCGCGCGAGCCGCATAGCGTCCGTCCCTGCGCCTGCGACCACGAAGCCCGCTGAACCCCCACAAGCTGCCGCCAACGACGACGACGACGGCGCAGGCGCGGAACCTGAGTTTACAGCGGAAGCAGAAACCGCAGCCCAGCAAGCACAGATCCACAAGGCGCTCGCGCGCCTCGCCCGCAAGACGAAGATGTTCTCGGTGGAGGGCGCGTGGGCGGTGTATGTGCGGATGGGGAGCGTCAAGCGGGCGGGGGAGGTGTTGGGGGAGATGGAGCGCGCTGTGCGGAGGTTGGAGTTTAAAGGGACGGATCACGAGGAGGAGGGTACGTCCTATTTCGTTGCGCTGCATAGCACGGGCGCTAAGGCTGTTGGGTAGAGCGGAGTGGAGGTGGGAAGCGGAAGCGTGGACACGGGGAGGAAGGGAGGGCTGCGAAGCGGAGGAAAGAATCATAATGAGAGGTTTTGTCAGCTCTGTCTCTATTCGTTGGATGATTTCCCACTTACAATCTTCTCGGTTCAAATTCTGTACATGTATAAAACTCTGGAACTCTAACTGCTCTGCATGTCGGTGGAGTTGCCCCGAAATCCGTGCGTCCGAGGACAGTTTCGTCATGGGTGTCTACCTCCTGTTGGGCGAATTCTAATTTGGGTGCCAACGTAACGATCTCGACGAATCTCACTGTTGCCCTGCATCCAAGAAAGGAAAGGTTTATTTGCGGTACTGGAGATAAATCGCCGGAGAATGTTGGAAACGCAACGCTCACCCAAGAGTGACAAAGCCAGAGAATTTTGAATGCAGGCAAGAAACCCCGATACATTCAGCAAAAGCGGTTGAATTTCGGGGGCAAGCACAGGGCAGAACATTTGGGTTGAAAAATGCAACATTCCCACCATCACTCGCGCTGAATGAAACAGGAATCATCTGGCATCGATCGGCCGGGCGCCTCGTGGTGGCCAGAGCCAAGCGAGGGCATTATATGGGCTGACTTTGATTCGGATATCTCGTTCGTGTTCTTTCTCTTCTCTCTACATGTCTGAATCTACTACGCCAGTTCAACCCCAACTTGGTCCTCGCACCTTCGTCGTGCGGGGTAGCGAGCTGTTGCCCACCGCGGTGAGTAACTACGCCGTTACTACATTCCGCCACTGAACGCCGGGTCTCGTGGAAAGGACGGCCCTCCCCCGCGAACTCGAGTGTGTTTGCTATCCGTGCTCTGTCCCCACGCTGATTGTACTCTCACCACACAACAGATCGTACCCTTCAACACGCCAGTGAGTTGGGATACGTATGCCATTTTGGAGCCACTTTTGACGGACGAATAGGTCGAGGCGTTGAGCGTGCACGCGGCGCTCGCCGAAATGACGCACAACACAATGTTCTCCCTCCCCTTTGCGTGGGCTGTCTACGCACGGAAGCGCAACCTCGCCCAGACGCGCGACGTCCTGTCCCGCATGGAGGATGCGGCTGGAGCGGTTCTCGAGCAGGACGGTGCGCCGTGTTTTTATTCCGTGGATTTGTCTGCTTATTCGGACTTGGTTTAACACATAGTAAATGATAAAAAGCGTCGCCGACGTCGTAAGCGGTGCCGAAAGGTTCCGGTCACGCAGGATGTCTAGGTGCGCAGTTCTACCTCTTCAAAGGGTTTCGTTATTGAGGCCTTTTGGTACAGATTCCGAACACGCCGATATTCCTCATGCAATTCATGCGACAACACGTACCGTGCTCCATGTTTAGATACCCGCACTTCGATCCACATCTTCAACTTCTGATTCGCTCACCACTGCCGAGCCCCTTTTCCCAATCATACGCTTTCCTGGTCTCAGCTATGCGCAGTCGCATTTAATGAGCGGCATGCACCAGCCTGCAATGTGCATTAATAATGTCCAACCGTGATTTTTAAACCAAGTCTTGAACGGAACGCTGCATGTGATCATCGTGCACATACTACCTTATGATACCAGCTTATTCAAGATACGAAATTAGTTAAGGGAGCCTTCGTGGAGTAAGGTTAACTCACTCCCGATGCGTGGCACGTTGCGTGATGTTCTGGGAGAGTCGGTGGTTCAAATCCACCCGAGGGCCCTGCGGCTTGGAGAGCATTTTTGTCTCCCATGTTGATTCGATGTGGTTGCCCACCCTAAATTTGCGGGGCATAAACGAACAAATACCACGAGCTCGAGGCCAGGGAGCGCGAGACGGAGGGGAAGTGCACCGCACATAATTGTAGATGGCCTCATAAGGGTACCCTGCTCGTCATGTGAGTCTAAGTCCTCGTGGAGTATGACCACCTCCTTCAATCATCGGTATGAGCACCCGATTTGGAGAGGGTCGGTGGTTCGAATCCACTGTGGGACATGCACGCTGCCACCTCATTTTTTTCTTCTCTTGTTGTCCTCAAACTGTGTCAACGTTTCAACCGGAGGAGCTCTTTGTAGCACGATTCCAGCGAGGAGCCCGATTCCCCTCCGGAATCTGGAAGTTCGATATCAGCGTCAAGGAATTTAAGCGCAGGCGAGTGCGCACTCTAGGTGGCTGCATATGCTTCGAGAAATATCTATGTACCCACCTACCCACCTCAGATGTGTAAATCCTCGTGGAGTAAAATAACTCACTCCCACAAATTCTCCAGAGATGAGAGTTACCTGGGAGACGGCGGTTCGACTCCGCCCGAGAACGTGCTGTGGTGATACAAATCTTTTTCTTGCGGTCCTCAAATCTAGCTGTGGTTTAAGGGGAAATAACCTTCGCAGCCTTTCCTCGAGTCCGACCTGGTCGTCACCTGGATGTATGAAGTCTGAAACTTTGACTCAGCGCTAGGAAATCCAAAACGTGCCGGGGATGTTCAATATAGGTGCTTGCTAAAACTCCGGCAAGCACCCACGTACCTACGTACCTACGTACCTACGTACTTACGTACCCAAGTACCCATCCGAAGCGTGAACCCCTCACCGAGTACTATAACCCGATAAATGATTCCCACAAAAATTCCGCAGAGCCGTGATTCGATTCCATCCGAGGACATGACATTTATGCAAGTTGGCTTTTTTTCTTCCAGACGTCAGAAATTCGCTGTCCTCAGAAGAAAGGGCGCCGATGTAGAGCTCTTTTTCGACTCCCAGGAAAGGCCCCGGTCCCATCTGCAGATGTGGCATGCTTGGAAGCCTGCGATTTTGATCAGTGTTGCGAAATTGAAAGACCGTAATGTACATACATCCGTGCCTGCAAAGGCTCCGGAACTCGCGCAGGTTCCCGCCTACCCACCGTAGACATTGAAGTCCTCGTGGAGTATGATAACTCACTCCCACAACATTCTTCTTGATATAGAAAGGATTCTGGGAGAGCCGGCGGTTCGACTCCGCCCGAGGTCATTTGGCGAGTTCAAGACTTCTTTTGTTACACTCTCGGATCCCTCCTAATTAGATGGTCAATCTGCAGACGTGGGATAGGTTGAGAAAACCGGCCGGCCGTGAAGTAAACCGCAATATCAGCGATCGTTGAGGAGGAAAGGGTATACGTGATATTCACCACTGCAACAGTCGTCTAGTTGATACTCTCACAGATACCAGGGCGGCCAGCAGATGGTACGTGGAATATCCGTTGGCAGGACTCCCGGAATTCCTTGACCATGTCCATACATCCCAGAAACTACGACCACGGGTTGTAAGTACTCAAGGGGGCAGCGGCAAAAATACTCTCATCGTTCTGCACTGGATCTACCATCTGTGTATCCTTCACCGGTGCGCGATTGAGGGATTGCCCGACAAAATGAGCCAAGCGCTTGGGCTTCCCAGATCGCTGAATCTTGAGCTGTGGCGGGAAGTGTCAAAGCCTTAACGTATTCAATTTTCTAGCCGACAGACATCTGAAAGCTCGACGTCTTGCTGGGCAGAGAACCAGAACCAACGGAAAAAGATCATTTCCAGACCATTCTCATGGCTCTAGCCCAACTCGAAAGGGCGACCCCCCGCACTACGATGCAGGATGAAGTCCAAGCGCAGCATTCTACAGAGCCTTGTGTTTAGACCTGGACATGGCCCTAGACTGGCAGACGAGAGACCCCGTGAATGCGGAGAGCGGACGTCGTCAATGCTGGATCGACCTTGGCGGCGGGCGAGAGAGCGTAGTTTGCGAGGCGGTTGAGCGCGCTTGATGTGGTTGTACCCGACAATGGAAGCGGCGTGCTCGGTCAAGACACGTTTGTCGCAGATTCCAGAAACGCGAGCGACAGATGAAGATGGTACCAGCGAGGATCTGCGTCGAGTTCGGATTGCCGTACATCTAATGGTCTTCAACGCGAGTCTGTATCCGTCGGCGAGCGCACAGTCGTCAAGAAGATTCATGGCGATAAGTGTCGCAGAGGGCGAGGGGTGACCGGTGAAGGCTAGCGGCGAGGGAGAGGCACTGAGCATGACGACGGTGTAGGTAGTCGCAAGAGAAAAGCGCCGGAATACGTCTCGCAAGCAGCCAAGCATCCAAGTTATCCGCGAGAATGGGGTGCCCAAGAAATATTGGAGTATCTTGGCGGCAAAACGAAGAATCGAGGCGTCTAGGAGCTCAGACTACACTGCCAAAGGGGCTGTGAACATGCGCTGCGCACAAGAGCGCGTCCGCTGAGCCAGTGCAAGGCCTCAGACTCATCGCCCTGCCGCCGATTTCCATGTCGACAATGTCGACCTCCGGGAAACTCCCTGTGGGCGAGTAGGCTTATCCGAGGCCTGGGATGAATAATCAGCGCACGGATATCGCACCATACAGACTCGAAATCTCCATCCGAACCTGCTCTTTCACTCTAACCAACAGCAATATTCTTCCGCCCCACTCCAAAGACCGAATCTGCAAGACGAGCCTCTTGGCTTCATACCACAAGACTTCGGGGGACGGATATGAGAGAGGAAGAGTCCGGTTGGGCGCTGCTGGAGGAGGGAAAGCAGAAAGCGTCGAGTCGAGGATCTCTCGAACGATGTGGTCTGAGTCAAGCGTGTTTGATGCGCCATCAAACGCTGACACAGCAAGCATTCCCACCTCCTCCTCTTTGATGTCGATTTCTCGGGTCTTGTTCCTCAGCGCCTATTCACTTTTGCCTCGTCCAATCTGTGTGGATTGGGCTCCCTGGAATCTCCTCATCAAGTTCAAAACAGCGCCGGAATCAAGTGACTGCTTAAATTGCTCAAGTCTCCTTCGGCTTCTGACGTGTCGCGAAGTTGTGGAATCAAGTCACTACGCAGAATCAAACCGCAAATGCTAAATTGGATTTATCTCCACTGCCGTTTTTCTGTTTTCTGCGCGTCCCAATCGTCCACAGCCTCGGGGTTCAAGCTTGAAGATCCTTGACTCCACAAGTTCAACTGTAGCTGCGGTCACACATCCATCGAGTCAAATCAAACCTTGGCCTGAGCCTACGACACACCATCTTATTCGAACGACAAATTAAATGGGAGCACGATCCAAGTGCGCCGTCAATAAAAAGTCACCCATCACAAATATGGCTCGGACCCGAATCGAACGGGTGCCGGCGTAAAATGGCAACGGAGAGCAGGTGCGGACCCTCTGCAACCGAGCCGGTGAACACCCAACTCGTATCCTAGCCCCGTATTTGATTTAGATCGCGCGACTTGCCAGCTTCCACGCTTCCGAGATGAAAAAGTCGTCCTTGTGTGCGATGGCTCAGCCCCGAATCGAACGGGCGATTCCTGCTTCCTGCGTAAGCTTCGCCTTCATTCATGAAGCGCAGGTGCGGGCCTCCCACAACCGAGCCGGTACAGGACACCCTGGTAACCTGGGTTCGTGAGGCTGTTTTACATTTGTCATTTGTGAGTTACCATTCTTCTCTTTACCGTACCGTTTGAGAACTGCAACAGCGTATGCCGCGTCGGCCATTTTCAATCCGTACCTTAACAGCACAAGCAAGACAAGAACAAAAGGAACGCGCATCGACGCAAGCATGGCTCGATCCCGAATCGAACGGGTGAATCCTGCTTGAAACGAGTCTTGCTCCACCAGACGAAGCACACTGGCGCGGACCATCCGCAACCGAGCCGATGCAAACCCAACTCCTGTGGTTTATTTTCCGGAGTCTCGTCAAACATTCATTCTGGCCGAGCTCACTGGCACATCGGGTAAGTTTCAGCCACTCATACGGCTACACTCGATCCAAACACGCTGTTCAAAATTAACACTCTGAAACTCAATAAAATGCCAAATGCAAATACGGCTCGGACCCGAATCGAACGGGCGATTCCTGCGTAGACCTATATGGGACTGGTCAACGAAGCGCAGGTGCAGGCCGCCCGCGACCGAGCCGTTGCAGTACCTTTGGGTCCGTGAACATATTTCATTCGTCATCTGAGATCTAGAGCTGCTTACCATTCTCTTCTTTGCCAGAGCGTCGAATAGCACGTATGCCATGCGTCGGCGGTTTCTGGTCGAGCCTTGACGGCAGAAGCATATTGCAATTGCAAGCAAAAGCAAAGCAAGAACAAAACGAACGCGGGTCGGACGCAAGCATGGCTCGGCCCCGAATTGAACAGGCGAAATCCTGCTTAAAATCTGGTCTTTCCACGTAAGACGGAGCAGGTGCGGACCATCCGCAACCGAGCCGATGCAAACCCGACTCATTATCCAGGTGTATGGTTCATTTTCTGGAGGCTCGTCAAACATTCATGAGGCGCTCAGCTCCGGTTGAACATTCTTCAAGGAATTACCTGATATCTATCCATCTTCGCTAGACTCGTACCGACGTCGCTGTAAAAAAAGTGAACAACGTGAAACATTACTGGACTCAAATAAAATAAAAATTTCCTACAGGTATGACCTCCGACTGGGACCCGAATCGAACGGGCGATTGCTGCGTTGGGACTCGTCCACGAAGCGCAGCGCGGGCCGCCCGCGACCGAGCCGGTACAGGGTGGACTGGCAGCCTGGGTTCGTGAAGCTCTTTCACATTCGTCATCTGCAAGCTCCCATTCTCTTCTTTCCCAGAGTATCATATATCCCGGAAGTAGCGTATGCCGCGTCGGTGATTTTTTTGTCCGAACCTTGACGGCCCAAGGAAAACAAGAACAAAATGAGCGCGTTGACGCAAG